TAAGGTATGGAGAGAATAGGAAGGAGAGAGAGACACACAGGCAGACAGACAGACATAGAAGAAAGAGAAGAAAAAGAGAATGACACGAAGAAACGGAAAGAGAAGGGAGTGGGAGGAAAGAAATGAGAGTGACAGAGAGGCAGAGAAGGAGAGAGAGACAGACAAGCAAAGAAGGTGGAAGGGTGAGGAGGAGTGAGAGAGACCGAAAAGAAAGGAGAGAGAAAGAGAAAGAGAGAGGTCTTTTTTCCCCTTTCCATTTGTTTTACTTCTTTATTTACTCTTTTTTACTTGTTTTGGCATTTATTCCGCTCGTTGTTTGTGTGCATTTTTTTCTTTTTATTATTTAGTGCTTTCTTTCTTCTTTTTTATCGCTCTCACTCTTTTATTGCGCGTTTATTCTTGTTCTTCATGCTGCTGTATTGGGGGTGGGGGTGGGGTGGGGGGTTCTGCATTGCGTGGGTATTTTCTTATTGTTATTTTTATGGGTATAAATGCTTGGTTGTTTGTATTTGCGGTTGGGTGGCGGTTCAAAAGTTTTGTTTTATCTTACTGTGTTTTTGTTATTATCATTTCCCTTATTGTGTATCGCCTCATTATCGCCATAGCCACTACTATTCTTCCTTTCCCTCTCCTCTTCCTCCTTCTTCTCTTTCCACTCCTCCCTCTCCCTCTTCTCCTCCTCCTCCTCTTCCTCCCTCCTCTCTCCTCCTTCCTCTCCTCCACCCCTCCTCCCTCCTCCTCCTCTCCCTCCTCCTCCCTCCTCCTCCTCCCTCTCTCTCCTGCCCCCTGCCCCCCCCTCTCTCCCTTTCTCCTCCTCCTCTTTCCTAACCTTCCTCCACCTCCCCCCCACTTCCCCCTGTACCCCCCCCTATATAATCCTTCATCCCAAAATCAATTATCACGTGAATAATTCTGCGGCGGATCAAGCGGCCGCCGTTTTGATATTGCAAGCTTTCATCGCCCTCGAAGCAGCTATTCCGCCTCGCCGCCGAGGCATTCCCCAGACCAGTCCAGTCCTCTCCTCCTTCCCCTCCTCCTCCCTCCTCGTTCTCCTTCTTTCCCCTCGTTCTCATTCTTGTCCCATCTTCTCCTCTTCCTCCTCCTCTCCTCCACCATCCTCCCTCTTCCTCCTCCCCCTCCTCCTCCTCCTCCTCCTTCCTCCTCCTCCTCCTCCTCCTCCTCCTCCTCCTCCTCCTCCTCTCCTCCTCCTCCTCCTCCACGCAAGCACTTTTCGTCCTCTCGCTCCCTCACCCGCGCGCTCGCCTGCCTGCTTGCTTCTGCAGCTCCCTGTGGCTGACGACGGGATCGGGAGGTCGCTTGGATAGTTTGGCTTGCGGGTGTCAGCGCGCGGGCTGACTGACCCTCCCTCTTTTTGTCTCTTTATTTTTATTTTTGGTTTTCTTTTTTTTGTTTTTTTTGTTTCTTTTTTTCTGTTTTCTTCTCTTCTTCCTCCTTCCTCCTCTTCTCTTCTTCTTCATCTTCTCCTCCTTCCCCCCTTCCTCTTCCTTCTCCTCTTCCTTCTCCCCCCCCGTCCCCCTCTCTTCCTTTTCTCCTCCTCCTCCCCTCATCACCTCCTCCTCCTTCCTCCTCCTCTCCCCTCCTCCTCCTCCTCCTTCTCCTCCTCCTCCATCCTCCTCTCTCCTCCTCCTCCTCCTCCTCCTCCTCTCCTCCTCCCTCCTCTCCTCCTCCTTCTCCTCCTTCCTGCCTGGGTGGAACACTTTGGTTGTTGACTTTGAATATTTGCTTTATTTGTTTGTTTTGTGTGTGTGTGTGTGTGTGTGTGTGTGTGTGTGTGTGTGTGTGTGTGTGTGTGTGTGTGTGTGTGTGTGTGTGTGTGTGTGTGCAATGCGTAGTGTCGCGGTTGCTGGGCGTGTGTTTGCTTGTGTGTGTTCGTGCGCGCGCGTTGAGTGTAGAGTTTGAGTATGTTATGGACGTTAAAAATAGCCGTGGAATGCCTTAATTACTGGAGATCGAGTGACGAAATTCTCTCTCTCTCTCTCTCTCTCTCTCTCTCTCTCTCTCTCTCTCTCTCTCTCTCTCTCTCTCTCTCTCTCTCTCTCTCTCTCTCTCTCTCTCTCTCTCTTCTCTCTCTCTATATATATATCCCCCTCCTTCTTCCTCTCCCCTTCCCCTCCCTTCCCCCCTCCCCCTCCCCTTCCCCCTCCTTCCGCTATCCCCCTGCTTCCCTGACCTTTCCGACGTGCTTCCTGTGTCGAGTCGACCTTTGCGTATGATCGATCAGAGACCACGGAATACGAAACTCATCTAGCCCTTCCCCCCTTCCCCTCTTCCTCCCTTCCCCTTCTTCCTCTCCTCTTCCTCTCCCCTTCCCTCTCTCTTCCCCTTTCCCTCATCCTCTTCCCCTCTTCCCTCTTCCTTCTCTTCTTCCCTAATTCTCTTCCTCTTTCCCCTCTTCCCCTTCCCTCTTCCCTTCCCCTTTCCCGCTACCGCTCCTTTCATTTTCCCCTTCCCACCTCTCCCTTCCTCCTTCCCTCTTCCTCTTTCTCACTTTCCCCCACCTTCTTCCCCCCCCTTCCTTCCTTTTTTCCACCTTCCTTCCCTTCCTTCCCTTCCTTCCCTCTTCCCTCCCCTTCCTCTTCCCTTCCCTTCCCTCTTCCCTCTTCCCTCTTCCCTTCCACTTTCCCTCTTCCCTTCCCTTTCCCCTTTCCCTTTCCCTTCCCTTTCCCTCCCTTCCCTTCCTCTTCCCTCCCCCTTCCCCGATCGCTTCCGGTTCCTAAAGCCCGTGATTCGCCGTGGACTAAGAGTCTCGTGGAATCCGCACACTTGTGGCTTCGCAGCTGGTTACGTAATGCAGGCTGTTCTTGTTCATTTTGCCCGTGTGAATGGCTGTGTTTTTGTGTGTTTGCGTGTTTGCGTGTATTTGGTTGTGGGCGTTTGTAGAGAGAGTGAGTGCGATCACGCGTGCGCGCACACACACATACATACACACACACACACTTACACACACACACACATACACACACACACATCACACACTCACACATTACGCATGCACGGACGCAAACGTGTGTGTGTGTGTATGTGTGTGTGTGTATTTATGTATGTGCGTGTGTGTTTAATAACGTTCAAAGCTTCTCTGTATCGGTGTCGATCTGTGCCTCATCTGTGGCGTGGAAATCTCTACGGATATCTGCCGCCACGTTTAACATCCGGCGTGGCGGTGGCGGCGGTGGCGTGGTGGCGTGGCGGCGGCGGGAGGCGACCAACTTGCAACGGGAACAACGACGAAGGGAAGGACAAGAAAACACGTGACTGTGCCGAAGGGTCGTGTCGCTGTTGCCTCGTCAGGGTATATTTATATGTATTTTTTTTTCTTTGTCCTTCCCTTCGTCGTTCCTGTGGCAGTCTGTTCCGTCATGAATAACACACAGGAAGGCTACCGGGCATGGAGCTGCTGGGACGGAGGCGAGGAAGTGTTGTCTTGAAATTAACGTCAGGTCATTTTCAGTTTGTAATGATGTTGTTTTGTTTCATCGGATTTATATGTTTGTTTTATCGTGTTTTTTTAGGTGTGTCGTATGGTTAGAAAAAATTTTTATCACTCGGAATGGAAACGTATCGTATTATTATTATTATTTTTATTATTTTTATTTTGTCATCCTTACGGAAACGATCTCACTAGAATTGGCAGAGAGAGAGAGAGAGAGAGAGAGAGAGAGAGAGAGAGAGAGAGAGAGAGAGAGAGAGAGAGAGAGAGAGAGAGAGAGAGAGAGAGAGAGAGAGAGTAAGAGAAGAGAAGAGAGAGGCGAAGAGTCGCGAAAGAGAGCAAAAGCGAGAGCGGAGAGAGCCAGAGAGCGAGAGAGCGAGACAGACAGAGAGCGGGAGAGCCAGGGCGAGTGCCAACGTGCGGGGTGACAAGGTACGAGCGTCCATCAGCGCACGTCGGCTGCGCCACGTTCGCCAGCCGCGGTTTACTACAGCTGGAGTTTCCCCGCGCTTGCTGCACAGACGGCGACGCGCACCTGTGGAGTGGGTGTTGCTGTCTGCGGGCGTTGGTTCGTGTGTGTGTGTGTGTTTGCGGAGGTTGGTGTGTTGTTGCTTGTGTTTGTGTTTGTTTTGTTTGTTTGTTTTTGTGTGTACGTTGTGTTCTTTGTTCTGCTTGTTTTGGGAGGTTTGCGGAAAATGGTGGGTGGATTCGTAGTGTGTATTTTTATAGCGTTCCTTCGTTTTGAAGTGTTTTATGTTTCTATCTATTTGTCTCTCTCTCTCTCTCTCTCTCTCTCTCTCTCTCTCTCTCTCTCTCTCTCTCTCTCTCTCTCTCTCTCTCTCTCTCTCTCTCTCTCTCTCTCTCTCTCTCTCTCTCAGCCCTCCCTGCACACCTGCTTTCCTCCCCCTCCCCTCTCCTCCCCTCCCCTCGCCCAGCGGTAACTAACGCCCCCTCCTTCCTTCTCCCTCGCAGTTTATGTGCGGTGGGGGCGGCGCTAAGCGGGTGGGCGTGGTGGGTGATGACGCGTCGGTCGGCACCCAAGCCCGGCCTCCTCCACCTGTTCACGGGCAAGTACCTCCACCCGCAGCGCTGCTCGACGACCTTCCACTGGGACGACCCCTCCACCGTCGGCACCACTGTGGCCTTCACTGTCCAGGAGTGGGTGGGTGGTGTGGGGTGGTGGTGGGTGGGTGGGTTTGGTGTGGGGTGGGGGTTGGAGGGGGTAGGGTGATTGGGGTAGGGGGTAAGGTAGGGGTGAGTGGGTGTGGGGTGGGGGGGGGGTAGGGGTGGGGGTGTAGGGTGGGGGTTGGAGGGGGAAGGTAGGGTAGGGTGAGTGGGGGTGGGGTGGGGATTGGAGGGGGTAAGGGTAGGGTGTGAGTGGGGGTGGGTTGGAGGGGGGGTAAGGGTAGGGGTGAGGGGGTGTGTGGGGTTTGAAGGTCTATGTATATATGTATTTGTGCATGTGTCAGTCAGTATGTAAGTGATATTGTCTTGTCTTTTCAAGTGATATTGTCTCTTTTCATACTCTGTTGAGCGAAAAACCCGTCAACTACACATTAGTTATAAAACCAAATACTGCGCACAAAATTATTTATATTTCCCCAAAACCTGTCCAGTTTTTCCAACGAAATGGACGACCGTACCCGATTAGTGATGCTGATGGTGTCTTGGTGGAGATAACACAAGGCATACATAAGGTAAGTCCGTTTGAAGTCTCTCTCCTTTGATGATGGAGATCAGAATACCTCCGGGGAATACCACGGGGGGGAGAAATGAAAAGCTTGACTCGGGGAATGTTGCCTTTTTCACGTCACTTTTCCCTCAACACATCAAAAGAATGTTGGGGGATTGGCAGCTGGGTGTATCTTTTTTTTTTCTTGTGTTTGTTTTACTCTTGGTTCTCTCTCTCTCTCTCTTACGTTTTTTGTGGTTTCTTTTCATGTGTCAGGCCAGGGTTGTTCAGTGTTTTCTCCCAATTATTATTGGTAGATTGATAAGTAGATAGGTAGATCAATAAATGGAAGAGTAGATAATTTCAATAAATGATAATGTTAGTATGATGATGATGGTGATAATATTACTTAATGAATATTGTAATGTAATGAGGTAATTAACTGAAGAAGAATGTCATAAAGGATTTTTTCTTTCTTTCTCAGTGAATGTGGCGCTTGTATTGTTCTTGTCTCATTTTAGAGACATTCCTTTAGAGAGGTCTTAGGTGAATGAATGCAGGGTCGGAATGGGATCCTTGCACATGAGTTTAATCCGAGATCAACAGGTGTCATTTCACTCATTCTCTCCATCATTACCTTTTGAGCCGTCACACTGCTTATGATTTTCCTTTTCTCTTTCCTGGATGGCCAAGATTTTAGGATCATAGTTGCAGTTTTAATTCATTAAGTGTTGCTGTAGTGCAGTATTGCACCGTCACTTTGGCAACAATACGAATCAAAATGAGTTTCAAGTTTTATTGATCCTTAAAACATTTTCCTTGGGACTCCTGAGCTTCTCTTGAACCCTTGTATATTCATACTGTGGTAAATATTTATCCTTTTAGAATATATTTACCTTAGAAAGTTATTCTGAGTCTGGCAAGAAGTTTTATTGATGCCAGTGCAAACTATTTGAGAATTTTTGTCCAATTTTTGTCCTTGAGTCATTAACTTGAGACTGAATGTTTGAGGTGTCCCCTTTAGAATAGTTTTGTGCTGAGTCATTGCTCTTAAATGGCAGGCCACAGGTTGTACAGGATATAGAGTGTGCAATGCATGTTAATCTGTCTAATCCAGATGTGTCAGACTCGTTTAGTGCAGTAAGCAGCTATAATTAATGTGTGTAGTATGCAAAGTGAAAGTAAATATGAGTCAGTTTGCAGTCAGCTCTGAGAAAATAATTTGGCAAATCATGTAAAACACAAGGTACAGCTGAATCAGCACCTGGGCCATGGATCATATTTAAGAACTGTTGATACATGTGGACAACGCTGGTATATTCTATTACATATTAAAGGATGTTTACCCATCAGAGTTCATTTGGCTAAAAGCAGGAGTTGCATACTTTTCCAACATGCTAAGAGGGAAGTCTTTATTTTTAGGTAGGAGTAGTGACCGAATTAGGAGGCACCGGTGATGCACAGATCAACACTGCAAGATGCAAGTTCACTGCCCGTCAGGCCGGACAGTACAAGATCTCCATCCTCCTTGCCAACCAACATATCCGTGGCAGTCCTTTTGTCAAGAACTTTCTGCCAGGTGAGTAGCTGACATAGTAGTGGTAACATTACTTAGGAATGGAAATGAATTTAGTCACTTTGGATTAGTGTGTTTTAGTTTTATTAGTGAATTATAGCTTAGTAATGGACTAAAGTGATCAAGGTTTATATGCAGACAGGAAAGGTAGTAAAAGATTGTGAATTAGGTTTAAAGAATGTGGAGAAAAGGTTGTTTTGATAAAATCTAAACAAGGAAACTGTTACAGGACCCCCAGACCCAAGCAAAACTGTGATGGTGCAGCACAGCTCAACTGTTGTGTGCACAGCTAACCAGCCTCACCACATCCTCATAGAACCCCGTGACCAGTACCACAATGTCTGCTCTTTCCCACCTGGACAAGCTGACACTAGTAACTACTCCATCTCCATTGTAGAGGTGAGTTGATGTGCCAATTACTTCAGGGGAAATTAGATATTTCTTATTTAAAAAAGGACTAATATTTGACATTTTATGAAAATAAAGTACAGTTTGTGATTGTTTTCTTCTCCCTCTTTCCTGTTTTTCTTCATAATATTTTCTTATATTCCCTGATATGTAGCTGGAAGGTGGATGGACAGTTGATGCTGGGAGCAGCATTGTTTATGATCACACAACACGTCGCATCAGTATCCAGGTCACCCTCAAACGTCCAGGCTGCTACCGGGCACACCTGACTTACTGCAACACCACCCTTACCAATGGCAACTTTGACATTATTGTTTTAACTAGTGAGTACATACAGTAGTATCTGGGTATGAATTTATATATATAAAAAAGGGAGTGCAATTTAGATTTTTCTGGACTAACTATTGATTAGTTTGCATTTGTAATGGTTGTCAGTTCTTTGCTTTCTTATTTTTCTTTCTTTTTCAGGTGACGATGCCTTGCGTGTTCAGAAGACAGTGATGAGAAGAGTTCACGAAGGATATGAAGCCCGGCTTCTAACTCAAAATGGATCTCATCTTACCAAGCCAAAAAAAGTGTATTGTTATGTCACCCCAAAGCAGTTGATCATCAAGGAGTTCCTGTTCCGTCTCATACCAAAGCGAGTGTGCACGTTCCGCCTCTGCCCATCCACCAAGTTCCATTTCACTGGCACCAGCAACCAGATTGGGCTTCCAACCATGAGCATAGACGATGGTTGCCAGCCGCTGGTCTTCCTGGCTGCCAAGGACCGTAATGTGATAGCCTCCACCTTCACCCAGTTCATGCTAAAGAACATCGGAGGTTCAGAGACCTTCAAGGACAAGCAGGACCACTTCTATCACGAGGTGCGCAAGTACCACAGCAAGCGCATGCATGATAGGATTCAGATCACCGTCTCCAGAGAGAAGCTGCTGGAGTCATCCATGAAGGCAACAAAGAACTTCACTGTGGCAGACTGGTGCAAGAACTTCGAGATTACGTTCCAGGGGGAGGAGGGCCTGGACTGGGGGGGTGTGAGGCGCGAGTGGTTTGAGCTTATCTGTGCTCAGTTATTTGACAATAATAATGGTCTCTTCACTAGTTTACATGAAGGCCAGCAAGCTTTAGTCCACCCAAATCCAGACAGACCTCCCCATCTAAAATTAAAACATTATGAATTTGCCGGGAGGGTTGTGGGGAAGTGCCTATATGAGTCGGCCCTTGGAAGTGGCTATAGACAGACTGTGAGGGCAAGGTTCACAAGATCGTTTCTGGCACAGCTGATTGGGCTGCGGGTGCACTACAAGGTAAGCAAGCATTTTACATATCTTATCCTTTTTTTCTGTTTCTGTTTCTTGTTGCTTTTCTCTTTTTTCTGTTTATCTGTGTAGTTGTGTAATATAGAAATCATAAATTCACCATGATTTGTCATTTAACCCACAGAACATTTCTCATTCTTTGATGTATAACTCGCATACAAATTTAGCATCATTTGCCTCTTGACCCCCAGCACTTTGCTCAAGATGACCCTGAACTGTACAATGGAAAGATACGTCATCTGCTAGAACATGGAGTGGACAAGCTGGATGATGAACTGTTCTTCATTGAAGAGTATATACATGCCACTGGACAGATCAAGGTAAAAATGGGTTCAGTACTAAGAAGAGGATAGAAGCATATATTATGTGGGAAAAAATCTATATACATGTTTTCAATTCAGCACAGGGGTAATTTTTGTTGAGAAAGTGCATTAAAAGTATCCTTTTTCTTCCTGTAAAAGGTTGTTGAGCTGGAGCCTGGAGGAACAAACCGTCAGGTGACAAACAACAATAGACTTCAGTATTTAGATGCAATTGCGCAGTTTAGACTTTCTGCAAGAGTCCGTAATGAAGTGGATGCCTTCTTAGCTGGTTTAAATGAGATTATTCCAGACAACCTACTATGCATATTTGATGAAAATGAATTAGAGGTAAGTTAAATCTGCAAATCCGTTGTTTTTGCTCTGACATTTTCAGTGTTTCAGTGATATTTCAAAACATTTGGAATGTCAGTCCTGTGAAGTTGTTTTCTGTATCTTGAATGGAGATATGATAAAATGACCATTATTACTAAATCGGAGCAGCTCAGAGACTTGCATTTTCTTCCCAACTTTTCAGTTACTAATGTGTGGAATTGAGGAGTACAGCATTGCAGACTTCAAAGCCAACCATGAGGTGAATGGATCATCTCCAGAGTTTCGACGTGTACTGTACTGGTTCTGGACAGCTGTTTCGAACTTTACTGGTAAGTCTTCTGGTTTAACAGATTGAGTCAGAGAATATGTCTCAGGTGTTATATTACAATTTAATGGAGAGTTCAAAACTGACCACCATTTATTTTCCAGATACAGATATCAAATAAAATCTTAAGGATATATTTCATTGACAGCACAATTTCACAAAGTTAACATGAAGGTCGAGTATGTTACAAAATCGTATTACAAGTCAACATAATAGAAGAGAGCTGCTGTACTTAACAGTCTTTTATCTTTCAGAGGAGGAGATGGCACGACTCCTTCAATTCACTACAGGGTGTTCCCGTCTCCCCCCTGGTGGATTCGCGCAGCTGTCCCCCCGCTTCCAAATCTCAGCTGCTCATACATTTGGTGTGCTACCCACTGCTCATACTTGGTAGGTACACTGTCTACAATAAAGCTTTATTTTATTGGTCTTTAGGGAAGGGTGAAAGTTGTTGGAATATGATTCTTAAGATTAGCTTCCGAATGTACTTAGGGTTACTAGAGATTTGTCTTTAGAGGAGGGCAGATCATAGTATATAGTCAGTGATTTCCAAGTTTTATATCACTTCTGTATATAATGTATGTAGGTCTTCAGTTATTCAATTTATCATTGTTTTGCCATACATGTTTACTAACAAATTGCTCATTTTCATCTTCAAATGTAGCAAATTTCATCCATTGTATGTCATTAATACTGTTAGGCTTTTGTTCTGGCTGGCCTATCTCTTATTGTTGCTCAAATGCCTCTTTTTCTCTTCCTGTGTAGGGTTTTATCTTAGTACCAGGATAGTTTTGAAATGCTTCATATGCTCCATGCAAATAGTTGCTACAGATTTGTATTGATTTATGGTCTTCAATTTTATTAATGGCAAAATTTTATTTTCAGCTTTAATCAACTTTGTCTGCCAGATTACGACAGCTATGAGCAGTTTGAAAAGGCCTTACTGTTGGCTATCAAAGAAGGATCTGAAGGATTTGGAATGGTTTAGAGCCAAAGAAAAGGGATTTACTTTTTTTATTAGTTCAGTGCAGACATGAAGATTCTGGAGAGGAGATTCATGAACCTTAAAGTGCTTCTAAGAAGATACCATTTCTTTGGCAGTAATATTCAGCAAATTATTTCTTTACAGTTGAATATAAAAATGTCAGTTGTATGTCACAATATTATATTACTTGGCAACATTGCAGGGGTTGTAGGCAATGCCATAAAAAAGAAATGGAGAAAAATATTACAAAGGGAAGATTTCCAAAGACCAAAAATGTTTTTATCACAATGGACCACTAACTGAAGTCAGTGTGAAGGTATGTGTGCGTGTATATTTGGTGTAAAAGTAATAAATTCTCTATATTCCTCACCCATGTTCATGGTGCCCATATATAACAAATGTTACATAAGAGATTCACTATTTTTTCATTCTTTCTTTTGTTATCATTATTTTTTCATAAGACACAGCCAAAGCTTGTAAAGTTAGTACAGTATTGTAAAAAAAAATGAAAAGAAAGCAGTATGTAATTTATCCATCCAAGACAGTAATTTAGAGCATTCTGCACAGGAACCTAATTCAGGTTATTCCACATGAACTTGAACACCTAGACTTATCTTAAGTTGATAGACAGAGAAGATAAAAAAAAATGAATGTGTGAAATACATTCACATACTTCTCTTCAGTGTGCAACAAACCATATTTAGAAATTCAGACGATTGTCAGTCAAGTGTTTGTATCACCTCTTTTTTGAGTCCTGCACGCCTTGTAGCTCTAGATACCCTTCAAATCAAAATAATCATCAAAAAGCCTGTGCATGCTAGAAGAGTTTTGAGCTAGGGTTTTCTCCACAGGAAAGCCTGGAGTACGTGATCTCAAGTTCGATGGGATGTTAGGTCAATATTGCCACCTCTACTGTAGCGCGTAATATAAGTTTATCAGAGGGAAATCAATTAAATTACAGCTTTTTTATGTTAAGGTGGTTGTCTGAAAGATATCAGAGGCTATTTTTGTGTGTGTAGGTCTACACTTCTGTTAGAAGCAAGAATGAATTGTCATACATCATGTCAAAACTAATGAATGGTACTGTCATTTAGGTTTTTGTCTCTAAGAAGCATGATGGCACCCTCGAGGTATTTATTGTTTATAAAAACATACATTTCTTATTTTGTAATTTGCTTATTTGAATATATGCTTTCTATGTTTTAAAACTGCCAGTGATTGTAAATATTTTTTTTTCTTTGAGCAGTAAATGTGTTCATAGTACTCATTGCCTTGCCATGTATGAATTGCAGTCAACGAAATACTGCACTGTGATGTGGGAATAATAATAATAATAATAATAGTGATATAGTTAAGTTACCCCCAGAATCTATAGAGCAATGGAAGGTGGTAGCTCTTCTGCATGATGCCCTGAATATAACTACATATTCAGAAGAGTACATAATAATGCTTTAATATGGAGGCATTAAGATTCTTTTTTTATATATATAATTTTCCCCTAGTTACATATATGTAAATCTGTATGTAAGGCATTATATTTTGTATACTGAGTCTGTTTGAAAGTGTGAAGCTTGGGTAGTTGCAATCCTGTCTCTTTATTTTTTTTATTTTTTTCATATATATACTTAGAAAAGGTTATGTATATGTATAATTAATTTGTGTGTTCACCTGTTTTGATCTTGCAGTTAAGCAACAGCTCTTAAATAAATTTTAAAGCTCCTGAGAGTTTGTCACCATAGAATGAATCTCATTTTGTGAAATTTTGATTATTAGAAATTTAGTTGAATGATATTAAGTGTAAATAAATCAATGTTATACAATTTTGTTCTTTAATTGTCTAAAGAACATTGACTGGTAATGAATGTAACTTTAAACTCAGTGTATCATAATAATTTAATCCACTTATGGGAAGTACATGCAGTCCACTGTAATTTTAATTTGTCAGTTTTGTTTATACATAGGTAGCTTCACAAGCACTTAGGTCACCAAGGAGTCGGTTACTAGGCATGCCTGAGCTCACATGCTCACCATATTCTGAATATTCTTCAGAAAATTCAAGGGATTTAGTAAACATTTGAATTCAAGTTGGCTGACTCCTTTGTAACTGAGCACTTGTGAAGTCAGTGTGTAAACAAAATTACATGACTAAAATTAGTGAACACGGCATGCATATGTGTCATCCCAGCATCAGTGAATTAACATCATTCAGTAATTACATTCATAGTACAAGTCTGTATAACTGCCAGTGAATTTTAGTTTAGACAGTTCAGTACTCTTACAATTGTACCTATAATGAATCTTTTATGAGAAAAGTAAGAGATGTTCTATAATTAAATGATGGAGATATTGGTAAAAGACTGGACAGGTGAATATAAAAAATAAATATATCTAATATGCAATTTGTACTACCTCAGGCTGTGAAAATGTGGATTAACAGTGGAAATGCTAGTCATAAGATGCTTAGTGTTGGTAGGTGTGTGAAACTGATACTGCATTGCTGACTGACGTGAACTTTAAGCCTGTTAGGATCATTAATCATGTTAAACAGCATTTGCAAATTAAATAGAAGATCTGAGCTGTACTTTTTTTTGTTTATTCAGTGCTGCTGCTTAAATTATATTTTTATCAATTTTTAAATTTATTATCTTTTAATCATCTTATTCATGTCTTCATATCACACTGTTGACAATAACAAATTATGCAATAATGCCAACTTCTTGGTTGACCTGTTAGCTTACTTTATGTAAAATATGCCCAAATAAGCTCATACCAAGAAAGCAAACAAAAAATGCTATAATGTTGCATAGAATGCATGAGAGCCTTGTATTCACCTCATTGCAAATACTTGTTGCAGAATCACATCCCTGCCTGAGATCATTGCAGAGCTCTTCTCAAGTGAACACTTATTTTACTGCCTGTATTTCATTGCAGAAAGCACTGCAGTGTATTTTTTTTCCCTTTTTGTTATGAGAATATATATATATATGTATGTTTATATGTATGTGTATACTCTGATACATATGCATATGCATATGTATACATATATGTAAGTCATGTAAATAAAATGTATATTCCATATATGTATAATGTATATTGATTTATGTAAAATAAGGATTTGATTTCAAGGAAAACATCATGTTTTTTGTAATACTTTGTAAAATATAAACTTGGAAGTAAATTAAATTTCATTACTATCCCTTACAAACATAACTGATAAAAAAGTTTCAACGGTCACTCCATTATCAGGCACTTGTTATCATTCAATTACTAAGGAAACGTTTGAACATTTTATCAACACTCCTTAGTTCTTCACCACGCAGGAGCTCCAAATCTCTGTATCACTTTGTCTTGATCAGCCAACTCCAGTTGTACTTTCTTACGCATGTAGAAAATCGGACAGTCTCGGCTGGAGGGGGGGGGGTGATTAGAAAAGAAAACAAACAAATTTTTACTAGCATAAATATATAAGCTTACATAATCAGTTATTGAATAATGATCATTGACAAAAATAAAATAAAATAAAAAATAAAATAAAATAAATAAAATTAATACATACCTAGTACAGATAACTTCTTCATGGATGGATCCCTGACATCGCTGACACTGTGTCCACAACCGTGCAAACTTTTCTTCCAAAGCTCCTAAAGTTGATATGTGCTGCATGTAAATCTCGCCTTCTCGCATCTGAGAACAACACAGGTCATACGTTACAACATTGTGGAGGTGATTTTTATAGCACTGGGGCTCTCTCAAGATTATTAGTAAGTACTAATCATATGATAATGTTAGTACTCTGTATTTTATCTATCTTAAGACTTTTAGTACTTAATATTGCAGAGAAAAATTCATAAAAATCTATAAATATTGATAGAATTAGCTTCATCATTTTAACAAGATTATAATTAAACCCTAAATGCAGTTTTGTGCAACGTATCTCTTCCATACAACTAGCAGCTTTAATGGACATTGGTTTTTCATGAGCAGGGTCGAATTAAAAATGACCCAAATTTAAGAGATGGTGTATGTGCTCTCATACAGATGAAACATTGAGAGACTGGCCCAAACTGAGATGAGGTAAGGGTGTGGAGAAACACACAGGTATGTGGGTAGTAAACAGGGTGAACAAAACTCAGTATAAATCAACCATATGTCCACATACAAGCCCTGATACTAAGGGGTTGCTATCAACAGGAAGAAACTTACCTTGCAATGTTTACATAATGCTTCAGATGCTGAAGTAATTGGGACTTTGCAGCCAACGCAAGAGGCCTTTTTGGTGATGAATTTTGCCATGGCTCCTACTTTGCTGTGTGTTATGATTCTTGATCTGGTGTGATCTCCCTCTGTTACAAATATTAATAAACCATAAGCAACTAGTGTATGAGGAAACACAAAGCATTATAAACACAGGAGTGCTTGGGCAAGACTTCTTGCTGTTAGGTCAAGAACTGTACCGTTCCCTGCTTAAAACGCTTTCCAAGGCAGACAAGCCTTGTTCAATGATGCCAGACTTGTGGAAGTGTCTTTCTATAAAGTACAAATCATAACAGTTCTTGGAGAGCATAGAAATGTCAAAGTAACACGCAGCATATACATACTTGGGTTTTAAAAGCAATAGACAAGTATTCCCACCAACAATCTTGGAGACAGATAACTTAAGCATAAGTTGAGGGTGGAGTTTATTTCATGGGCGGTTGGTAACAGTTTAACCGCGCATTTCAAAACAGCTGACAAGCTAGCGCCACATCAAGATGGCAGAGAAGTAAATAAATCTACCCTAACATCTTAACAAAGGGCAATATTTTCTCCTATATTCATAAAAAGTGCCTCTAAAACATTGTTCTTACAGGCTAATTCTGTTAATGCAAGAATACAGAAACCTAAATATCATCAGAACTATTTTGTTAACACCATTGAAGAGAAAAACAAAAATAACAAACAAAAGCATACTTAAATATAAAAACATAATAGACAGTATGGTAGGGGTCACTGATTCAGATATCAAACTCTAATTTGCACAGAGAAACTATTCAACTAAAATTTCAGTTAACTACTTTGATAGTGGAACAGATATCGAGAGGAATCAACGTACTTAGTAGCTGTGATTCTGCCTTCTCTCCTAGGATGGGCTCAAAAATTCGCAAAAGGGGTTTGCTCAGCTGATTGGTCAGGTAGTATTCGTAGTCAATGGGCAAGCTGTTCTCTAACACATAAATGGGGTCCTGTGAAGAAAAAGTATGTTTATGCTATGAATCAGAGACAGGCACATGTAAAACAGACAAATAGATGAACCCACACACTCATTCAATTAAGAAAAGTACTTTAATGGGCAACAGGTGCCTAAAATTACCTCAGCCTTTTCATAAGCAGGTGTTCCTTTCGCTCCTGCAATGATCACAAAAGGAACTCGATCGCCCAGTTTTGGAGCCGTGCCTGGATCTCTCTTCTTCATCTTGTTGGCAAGCTCTACATGAGCCTGTTTGGCTGCATATTCTTTCTCTGTCTTTGTCAGTTCCTTTGTAATGACGAGGTTGGAGATGTCCACGCGATTACACAGGAGATCAGAAATCGTTTGCTTGGCATAGTCTACTGCTCCCATTGGATTCCTATTTTTTTTTTTTTAATAGAATATTTGATTCAGTGTTAAATCCACTTATCATTTTTATTTTACTAGTGCAGTAACAGACTATTTATTTCATATTCATAAACTGCAAATAAATGTTATTGCATATCTATAACTATACTCTATTAGCAGGCAGATCTAATTTTCTAAAGACCAGAAAACCACATGTAAATACAACAGTTCAAAATCCCACATGGCTGTCATACATCAGGTACAGATAATTTCACAAACTTCTACAAAAATTTCTTCATACCTGTCAATCAAGATCTTCTGGAGGCAAGTGTTGATCAAGTTTGCAACGATGGGAGAATTGTCACGTCGCACGGTCTCAATACCCTTGCAGTCCATCTTGTCGTGGACTTCTGGCCGAGTAAAGTACAAGCCGGCATATCTCTTTTTGTTGATCAGCAGATATGGGAAATACACCTGAAAGTAGGAGGTATTATCAAATATAAACGAAATCAAGTGAAAGGAAAATTAGTTACCCGACTGTTGACAATTAATTTGTAAATACACATTAATGTCATTCTCACTGATAGGCTCAATTGGGATACACATGCACTTCAGCCATTGTTCTACATGTAATATGGTGATATGATGATCATTATTGGTGTTTTTTTTGAAAATCCAAAAGCTTTATACAGGGCATGTCTCTTCCAATTGTGTGAAAATATATAATTATTGTTCATATATCAATATCCTATATATTTTCTAATTCAAATATGCAGTATTCAATTAATAAAAATTACATAAAACACTACCATAAATAAAAGAATAAATTTATCAAAGAAAAAAAATCAACAGGAGCACAAAATCAAGCCCGTAGCAAAAGCCAAAAACTTTGAAGCTTCCAGTGAACTTACTTTCTCAAACTCGAGTTTGATTGGCTTCAGGAACTTTTCTGTGACATAAGCAGCAGCCTCCTTCCCTAGCTCCATAGCCTCAGCCACTGTCTCTACGCCAAACTTCACCATCACAGAGTCAGTGTCGCCGTAAATGACCTGGAATGGACACAGCTTTTCTTAGGACACATGAGAGTAATGGATGTACTTGGATTCTCTTCTTTCCTTTTGCTGAAGTTCTCTTCCTTGCAACTACAAAAAAGCTAACTAATATATAACATAACTAATGTAATATAATATATTATGATAACTGCATAAAGAGAAATTTCTAAAGCAGTTTTAGACATGCAGCTAATCACAAGTTATGATCTTAGTAATACGAAGAAGTTTTTGACTAAAAAAAACAGACACTAACACAGACTAACTATTTGTTTATCTATTTAACTATATGAAGAATCTAATGCATGACTAAACTTTTACCTACAAAAAGGATAGTCTTTCAAGGAAATTCTAAATCATTTACCTTTAAGAAGAATCAGACATTTATATCAATAAGAAACAGATTCATACCAATAACAGATATACATTCCATAAACATACAGGTATTTCAGCTCTAATCTTCAAGGAAAAATATCCTAACACATAAAGTACTCTCTTCGTGCAATATCCGTAAAGGACCAACATCGCTCCACCAACCACAGACATTCTATTCTAGACTGCACTGACCTCTGCATTACTTGGGTAATTGTTCTCCAAAGTGTACTTCCCCTCAACCTGTTCCTTTGTGAACGCAATCATCATTCGTCCAAATGCTGTTACACTCTGCCAAGGAGAAGGGAAAATTATGTCAGTAATAGAAATAAAGACAGACAGAAAGAAAGAAAACAAATGAAAAAGAAAAAGGAAGAAAGAAAAGAAAGAAAAAAAAAGAAAGAAAGAAAGAAAGAAAGAAAGAAAGAAAAAAAAAAAAAACTCCTTACATTAAGAAGAGTTTGTCATCATCTTTATAGCTTATTAGTTTTATCATTCACAGTTATCTTGCTGAGAGAAAAACATTACCACAAGGCTGCCTATGGAAAAGGTTAAATCTTTGGTAATAATAATAATAATAATAATAAAAAAGTACAATAATTCCAAAATACATGCTGGATTATAGCCTTCAAATTGGGTTGTCTACTTCTTTAATTTGGTATGAATTTCTTACTGTTGCTGCCTCGAAGTGGTATGTCATACCTTCTTTCATTACAGTTGCCAGTATTTCACAAACAATATTTGAACCAGATATCTTCAATGTGAACCTTCCTCACCAAGTGCAAT